TTGCTTGCAGTTTTGAATGAGAACGTTACTCCCTTTAGTTTGATTTGCAGGACCGGCCTGAACCTTCAACCTCCTCTGCTTCTCAATCAGGTTATCAGCCGGGAACGGCTGACAATGAGGAACTTATGGAGACTTCAGGTGAAGATAATAATTTAGATGATTGCTGGGTGGATGTCAGAAGCAGGCGTCTCCTTACGAGAAGAAACCAACGGGAGCACAGGAGGAGGGCAGATCAGTAATTAGACTAATTAGCTGCTGCTCTATAAAGGGAGAGAGATGACTTTGCACTTTGTCCGGAACAAAGTGTTTGTTTGCAAGGAGAACCGAAGATTTTGGCTTGGAGGATTTAAACCTGAAATATCTTGTTGGGACTTGGATTTATTTCGTTGGAACTATTAACTTGGACTATCTTGTGGAGGCTATCTACAGCTGTTATCTGTGAAGATTCCTGTTTGCTGCCTTTATTTGCGAGGACTGCTGCTTTCAGCCTTATCTGTTTATTTTGGAAGGTGGGACATAACAAGTTCTTATATTACTTGAGCCTGATTTTCTCAGCCCCAAGAAAGATATGCATCTTGGTTTTGGAAAACAATTTAAACAATTCATAAATGAAGCATATTATAATTATTTAAATGTAAACACATCCATATACTTACCAGATCTTTAATGTGCATCACCATGATAAACAGAGTCTTGTTTCTATAGGAGATGGACAACTTAACTTTTCCTCCTACTTTGCCTGAGGTAGGACTTGAAGGGCCTACATCTAAAAACAAACAAACATCTCATTTTGACTTTGGACCAGTTGCTCTCAATCATTACACCTTATGTAGTAATAATAATTCTTCTGGAAATTGCCAAACTGAATGTGATCGTCTGAGAGAATGTTCAAAATGTAGCCAAGGGAAACAGAATGTCCCAGGTTCTCCAGAATGTTCCATTCCTACTTCTAATTACTGAACACAACTTGCACTGTATATCTTTATGTTTTGTGGAACTCCACACGGCAGAGGCTTCAGAATTTACTGAAATAATTGTGCTATTTAGGATACTAATTAAACTGTACAACTATAATACTTACCTGTACACCTAGTTATTCCATCAATTCCTTCAGCTTTTTCATCACGAGGTAAGGGATGGAAGAAAGTATAAACGAGATCACACTAGGTTGGGAAAGATAAAATTTCGATAAGAACTATTTGTCATACAGACTATGTATAAAATCATTTAAGTATTTTGTAGGCTACTGTCAAAAATTACCTCCGATACATCTGTTGATGCATTCATTAAACTTTGTATGTAGCTATTTAGCTCTACTTTCCTCTTGGCTGCTACATCCTTTACGTGAGTTCTTCCTAGAACCATCTTACTAGGAAAGCTACAGTAACAGAGATAAATAGTTACTTCATTTTTATTAAGGCAAAAAAAGTAAAAGCAATCATACAGACTAGGACAATACAAATGCATTAAAGCATTACTTCATGAAGTATTGCTCCATGTAGTGTCGAAGGAGTTACTTTTTCTGGATGGCTTAGCACAGATGTCTTCTCATGCATTTATACTGTATGTACTTTCATTTTTTTGGCAATCAGCTAAAGTGTTTCATATTCATATATATATATGTGTGTGTGTGTGTGTGTGTGTGTACATACACACATACGTATGTATCTCCAAAATTTATTTTATTTTATTTTTAATTTTTTTATGCCACCCATCTTCCCTACAAGGTGACTGAAATGGGAAAACTTTAAGAGTATCCTAGATGCAGCTTCTCCCTCACTTGATTGTGGGAAGCCAGCAGGGAATGTTGAAGATCATGATCACGGAATTACAGCTCACTGAGGCGTCCCAACTGCAATGGGCACCAAACTCCCAGACTGCAGTCATGTGACCGCAGGGATGCCGCGATGGCCAAGAATCAGAGAATCGGCCCTAAGTCCCCCTTGTTTAGCACCATTGTAAACTGAACAGTTGCTGAGCACTGCATGTGTTGTTGAAATGTTCAGGGCTTCATGTAGTTCCAGCTGATATATAAAAACAGAGTAAATGAAGAAGTAACCCCCAAACAGGGTGCTTTTCTCACTTACTTCATTAAGGAAATACTTCAATAGACAATATGCTAATCTCTTAAACATCTAAATAGGTAGGTTTTAGACATATAAAAAAATTCTTCAAAAACAAAATTTTGACACATACCCTGGTAATTTCCAAAGAGGAAATAAGATTCCAAGCTTGTTGTGTAACTCCTGAAACTCATCAAATGTGCGGAAAATGAATGTGGGTTCAGTTTGCCCCTCTCTCAAAACTCTGACCACATAGATCTGCCAAAGAAAAAAGCAAATATTTCACTGACTATTAAAAAGTTTAACTTCTGTAATCCTGTGCTATAATCTTTCCAAGACTTGTGCTCTTCAGATGTGGTAAGATTTCAACTCCCAGAATTGTGGGTCAGGGAGGCTGGGCAGACATGACCAGACTTGAAAAGGCCACACCTTTATATTTATTTCTAATCATTCCATGAAAAAAGGTAATGGCAGTAGCAAGGGTCTCAACCTTAGTTTTGCCTTGAGCCATGGTTTACAAATCAGAAGGACTGGGTTGACGTACCATGATAGTATTATAGTCTTGATATGCTTGCTTTGAATACAATTATTTCAATAGTTGGTATTGCAACCATATATATTTTTTCCAATGGTCCTACGGGGGGTGCTACAACAGCTGTAATTTCAAGGACTAGGTGCAAATATCATCTTTTTAGCCCCGCTGTAACTTTGAATAATTGAACAAAATGGTCATTGTCTGAGGACTTCTGGTACAAAAAACTCTAAACTTCTGTAGCCATTTCCAAGACTTAAATATCATTAATTTATGGAAATCCATTAAAGCAGAGATTCCTTCAGCGATATTACTGCATTCAAAATGGCTTGACTCATAGATCCAACAAACTGCACTCAAACAACAGAATCTGAAATTCCTCTACAATGGGATACATGTGAAAATATGCTGGTTAAAGCAGATGAAGGAAGCTACGGAAATCATGCTGAATCAAAATACGTATAATTCATAAACTTACATAATATTTATCTGGGTTGTATCTCTTATGGTAGGTAAAAACAGATGCTTCTTTGATATGACTGTCTTGTTTGAGTGAGTATGTTTTGGGTGAAAAAGATAGGATTGGCTCATCGTTAGAAGGCAGCCCTGAGAAACACAGTTGAGCAAGGTTGTGAATAAAAAAGTTGAACTTTGTAGCAACACTTCCCAAGCTTGATTCAATTAGCCTAAAAATAAACAAAGAATATTAATTTTAGATATTACAAGTGTGCCAATATCTTTTAGTTTCTTACAACTTTAATTGCAATAAGAACATGAAGGATCACTTCACAGTTCAAATTCTTAGTACAGTAATACCTCGTTACTTGACCGTTTTGAAACTTGTCAAATTTGATATTTGATACATTTTGATGAGAAAATGTCCCAGTATCTGTTGCTTGTTTGGTACTTGAGCGAAAGCTAAACTTGTTGCCATTGGTTGCCTTGGGACTCACTACATGAGACCTTGTGGTAAAAATTGTTTGGTACTTGTTGCTTTTGGCACTCCCAGAACCAACTAACAATGAGTATTTAGATACCACCGTATATTAATCATAGTGGAATAATTTTAAATTAATATTCCTGATATAAATCAGAGAAAGATGATGGTACATTTAGTTGCTTTACTATTGCTGAACCCAAAGGACTATGTGTATATAGAATAATTCCCAAGTTTTGGAAATGCAAATTCCACAAATATATTACAAACTTCCATTGCTAAATTCTGGCAGTCCCAATTGCCACTATGAGGCAAATCCTCCATGGTCACAACATTGACTTTGCTTGCTGGAATCCATCAGTAAAGGTCACAAATGGCAATCATGTGACTGCAGGACATTGTGATGTAATAACTGCAAGCCAATCAAGCACCTAAATTGTGACCATGGGACCACAGGGATGCTGCAATTGCCACCACTATGAAAACCTGTCACAAGTCTCCTACACTCAGTATAGTGATAACTTTGAAGGGTCACTGAATGAGTGTAGATTAAATGAAGATTACCTGCATATCCTTTCACTACCAAAAGCATTTTACATTAACATTTCGCTTATTTGTTTACAGAATTTGTAAACTGCCTAATTTGTGACCTAATTTGTAATCTCAGCAGTGTACATCAATTTAAAACCCAAACAATCAGAACTTCACCAACATAAAACCAAAATAAAACCAAACCATTACAGAGACTGAATATAAGACTGTCTCTCCCAACAGAACAAGTTTAATGACTATCTTGCCCAATGCATAGAAGAATCTGGTTTTCATGGCTCCATGAAAGGCTAATAGGTCAGGGTCACCTGCATCTCAGGGGGTGGGAAAGTTTATTCTAAAGGTTAGACTCAGCAACCAAGTAGGCACTTTTTAAAGGCCCATCAGTTGACTCTCCTTGAAAAAAAAAGGCACTTGGGAGCATGCCAGCCCTATACATCCTCTTCCAAATGGGCAGCACTAACTAGAGATAGGCAAATAACACAGTCCTGTGCAATGAACTGCTTTATCATGATCATTAGCACCTTGAATTGTATAGGAAACCTACCTGGAGCCAGTGAAGCTCATGGGCAAAATAAGAAAGTGGACATTTCCTTATTTCTACAGACTATAGCCTAACCCTATGCATTCAAATGTCAAAACCAGATATTAAGTTGCACAAAGATAAGGACAAATCGGTAGAACTTCTTTGTGGAAATTAATTGAACCTTTAACCTTAGCTGCAAGCAATAGGCACATGCAAGAAACAATATTTTAAAATCACTTGTGTAGTACCTTGTGAAGAAAATGGTAGCCTCAGCATCAGTAGTTTGGGGCTGAAGAGCATCTTGGACATATTTGAGATCTTGAACTCCAGTAAGTTCTGGCAAGCCAGAAGACATCATCTGTAAAATGAACAGATACAGCAACTTTTTCGGTAAGAAAATATACAATACTTACTTGTATATAAACAAGCATTTGTTTTTTTAAAAAAAGATTTCCAGATTTATGCATGCTATTCAGAACTTTTAAGTTGAAATTAAGTATGAACATAGTCGTGTTCCTTGTTTTAAAACACAGCCTATTTTATTGTTAATATCAGTGACATATAGAAATATTACCAGTGACAGCAGATTAAGGAAAAGGTTGGCTTGTTTTCTGATTAGATTATAAGCTTGGCAGCAGAGATCAACAAACAGCTGGAAACGAATTGTGGGCTTTTCTCCACCATTGATAACGTAAGCCATATCTGATGTCAGTACAAAAGGAGCCCGATCCCTTTCAAAGAATAGAAAATAAGAATTTGTTTTTAAATACTGCATCCTGCATGTAGACAAGCATGACATTTTTTAAAATTGAGAATCTCTAAAACTGAGGTAAAAGGTAAAATGTGTAACTGAGGTAGTTTGCATAGGTAAAATTTGTAACTTGTTTCTGCACACATATGAAAATCAATACCAAATACAGTCAATCTCAATGAACAGATTTTTTTAAAAATGTTTTCAAATAACATGTGAATTATTTGATACCTCAGATGTTGGAATTTCACCATGTTCTAAAACAATATTTGGCTAAAGATAGTTCACAAAAAACTTATACCCCACCCCAGTTTAGGGAATTTGTGAAGCAAGATGAAAATACTTGCTTATTCAAACTGTTGGTAGGAAGCACTGCTATAAATGTGTATCGTTTGTTACTTAGCAAATCTAACTTTTATGGTTTAATACTTTTGATTCCCAATTGACCAGAGATGCTCCAGAAACAAATCTCCCATTTTAATACTAAGCACCAACATTGCAGAACAAAATTTAAGAAAACTATAAAACCAGTGGTTGACGTTATAGAAACACCTAATTCCTTTACCCCTTTTATGAAAATATTTCATAACAAAAAAATCACAACTTGACACCTGTGGCAGAAACAAGAGTTACAGCCATTATGCTTTTTAAGATGGTGTATTATAATTGCAAAATCTGCCTTGTTTTCAAATTACTGCAGTGGAACCTTTTAATTTCCTCATAGTTTCATACCTCTTAAAGCTTCCAAACATCTGAGCATGCCCCAAGAATTTTCCAAAATCAATATGAAACATATGTCCTGTACTTCGAAGCATTATGTTATCATTGTGGCGATCACAGATGCCTAGAACATAGGTAGCCACACAACACCCAGCACAGGAATAGATGAAATTTTCAGAAGCCTAAAATAGACAAAATTAAATATATTTTCATTATAGAATTTGAAGAAAAGCACCTTGGTTAGTATTCAGAATCAGCTGCAATAGCAGAACATTCATTGATTAAGGAACAATATAATTTACAATGATTCAAAATTATGGCTAAATATCAGTTCTTTGGAAAATATCATTAACAAGATAATATAATTACTTGACTTTTAAAATCCTGTTTCAGATAGATGAAAAATAGAAAATCTTAGGAGCAAGTTTTCCATGCAAGTGGAGAGGCAAAGTTTTAAAATCATCTGTCTGTGATTTACCAAGTACTGAGCATGTCAGTTAAATGCAAGATTCCTGTTACTTCCAGCTGTCTCAAAGACGTAACTTGGAATTGTCATTTCAGTGACCTAGTTAAGATAGCACTGTCCTGTATTTAATTATTAAATATGACATGTGAATGAATCTAGATAAGCGTTAGCACACAACAAACAACATCCTACTATTATCATTCTCATAAGTTCCTATTTGGAAATTGTAAGTAATTTACCTTTTTATATTCTTCTTCTGTAGGGTTGTATTTTCTTAGCCATTCTGCAAGAGGCTTATCTTTAAAGGATCCTGTCACTCCATACTCCACTTGAATTTTCCTAAGGGTATCTGAAGCTGGAACAAGTTCTACCATTCCTTTAAATCAATCAGCAAAAGTTAATGAGTGTGTGTGTGTGTGTGTGTGTATAAAATATATTACTATGTATTACATAAAAACATTTAACTTGAAACCTTTAAAAACGTTTCTAAATCCAAACTGCTTGTCAATATCCATTATTATACTATTCTTTGCATTTAAAATACTAAATAATACTACATTGTAAAATAATTCAACAATTCAATTTAAATATTGCTCCTGTACAAAACCCCCACAAATCCTTTTATTTTTAAATCAACTAAAAATGGAACGTTTTAAATTGAGCTTTATAGTTTTCCTGGAAATAAGCATGAAAGTATTTTATCACTGTGATCTTATGAGACATTTTTTAAAATTTCCCAGCCTACAGTCTGGGATTCCACATGGTCTCCCATTCAAATCCTATGTTTTTGGAAGTCAGCCATTAGTTAGCTGCTGCCACCTGCTGTAGACACATCAACTTAATATTTAACATGAATAAAGTGAACATTCTTCAACTTTCTGTACATTAGCAGCAGACTTCTTATAGTGTTCTAGAACAGCACATAGGTTTTGCAAATATATTAGGCAGTTCAATTAATGCCAATTATTTTTATGGCTATTGTATTTTGGGCTGCTTAGCAAATATGTGGCATCTGAGAAAACAGGCTTTTGCAATAATGGTGTTGGGTCTGCCATCCCTGCCAGAAATTGTGACAGTAACCAGACAAAGCTTTAACATCGCACATAAGTTAAGACAAGACAAGAAATTAAAGCTCTACCTCTATCTTTGCCAGTTGCAAGGCACTTGAACATAACCATCCTCAAATCCAGTCCTTCCTGTAACCAGATCTTATCCATGATTTTTATCATTTGCAATGCTAACATATCCTGGCGCAGATCTTCTCCTACCTAAGAAAAAACAAGTCACAAATGAGAGAAAGGAATGTTATCAAGACAGGCTCAAGTTTAAAATGACAGGCTCATTTTAAGTTAATAGCAGAAACTGATCTGGGGTATTTAAGTTAGTGTTTCTTTTTTAGTATTGGTTCTCTAGGTATAGAACAGGGCTGTCAAACTCCTGGCCCGTGGGCCGGATGTGTCATATGCTGGCCACGCCCCCCCCTTGTTTCGCAAAGGGGGGGAAGTCCCAATATGTCACGTGATGCTGTCGTGACGTGAGTTTGACACCCTTGGTATAGAACAAGGTGAGCAACTTGCAACCTGCAGATTGTATGTCTCAGGAAATTTGTTCATTTTCTTCAAAGTCTCTGCACTTTATAATAAGAATGGGTGCTGTGGCCCAGCATGCGCAGGCATATGTGTGAGGTTTGTGTGTGTGTGTGCGTGTGAACAGTATTACTCCTCAGGAGAAAAGTGGTGTGAGTAGGAGCAATCTATAGGAATGACTTTGCTATTAGCTCTGCTTTGGGGAAGCCACCAGGAAAGGTTGCAAATGCCAATTGCATTGCTATGGGAGGCTGCAACTTTCCTAAGTGTTAAGCCAGTTGTCAAGCACCTGAATCACATGTCTCTGGAGGTGCTGGAATGGCCATAATCCCGAGAACTGATCATGTTACCACTTGTTCAGTGCTATCATAATTGAGCAGTCACTGAATAACCGGCTGTAAATTCAGAACTACTTTTATTTCAAAACAATTTATTTGAAAATTGTCAAGTGAGAAACTCAAACTTCATTCATGAAACAACGTTTAGTATAAACTAGAGAAAGCATGAATGAAAATATAAGTCACGGGTAAAGAACATATAGCTGAAACGCTTCTTATAACCAAGGTAGAGAGCATACTATGAAATGACTAGGTAAAGCCTGCTCCCTCCAGAGCTGTCTGTTTTGTTTTATAATTATCATTAATGTGATAATTTTTCATCAATTCATGAACACTGCTCTAGTTGAAAGGAATACACTATTTTTCCAATATAGTAAAATACATGCAAAAAGGTATCCAATACAAAATTTAGTGGCAGATAAGGGCAAAAATTCATTGCAAAACAAGATTTAACAGAATGGTTAAAAACTTTTTAAACCTCTCATGTTCTAAAAGGAAACCATTATTCTTAGCCAAAAAAACCCCACAATTTTAGAAATGCCTTAACTTTCATCTAACACGTGCAAATTCTCCCTACAAATGTTTAAAGCATCCAGAGGGCTCTTTATGACCATAAAAAGCCAGAACATTTTTTTTCTAATGGAATTAACACTACCAACAGTACTGGAGGGGAAATATCTGTTATTGTAACAAAAAATGTACCTTAAACATTACATTAATTTCTTCTCCCAAAGGATCTGCATTCACAAAAGCAATTTTAAGAGGAACTGCATTAGAACTGAAATAGGAACATGCCTGTCAAAGATATAAAACATGGTTCATATTATATAAACCAAGAGGTGAAAAATAGAAATGATAAATGTTCCAAATTTGGTTTTGCTCAGTTTCTCGTTATATTATAATAACAATAGAAATAAACAATTAAATTAGAAAGTGCACAATTACAAAATGGTAACACTAAAGGCCCAGACAATTCTTAAATACTGGTATAATAGCAGTAATATACTAGTTATTCCCTCAAATGGAAACAACATAAAAAACAAGGAAGTCTGTCACCAGGGCCAGTTTAAAAGTCTTTAAACAGAGGAGAATCCAGATTCCTCAGAATGAAATAGGGACATTTTAAGGGCAGTTTTAAAAAGTTTATATATACTATATGTGGTTTATCCTGTATTCTTTTTATTTAGAGAAGTTTCATAAAGATAATACAAACCTAGCTTGTTGCAACGAGTTGAGAAATAAAAAAACATTCTGGCTGCACAAACTGGCAAATGTCTGCCAGGAGGAGTAAGCAAACAATAAATATGTGGGGGAGGAAGGGAAGACGAACATAGGAGGCACAGCTAGGAAAAAGGTCAGCTTAGAAAGCGAGAATCTGAGGATAAAGGGAATAAGAAACAAAGTTTTAAATAAGGAAGATAGATGGCTACTTGTGAATAAAGGAGAGGTAAAAATAAAAATGCAGTTGCTTTTCTTTCTGCAGCCCTTTGCCCAGCTGGGATTCCACTTCCTGCAACTAACAAGGATAATGACACAACTTGGTAAGTGCAACTGATTCAGAAGTAATGACTGGCAACTCCAACACTGAGGAAATACAGAAGCTGCCAGTTTTACCAAGGCGGAAATTACTCAGTGATGTGCCCAGTGACATGGTTGGGAGAGAGCTTTAAGAGGACTGGGTCTGACCTGAGGAGGAATGATCACAGGAAGTGAGATATATTGCTAAATGAGACTTTCGAAGAAATAGTTGTTGCTGTGAGCATTTTGCAAGGCTGGAAACAAAATTGGTTTATTTAAAAATGCTGTGGGCCTTTTGAAATGTATTACACCTTTAAGAAGACTGCTCTGTCTCTTATGTCTAGCTCTGAGCAAGCCTCTCTGCAGGACACGATTTCATCTATGTATGGCAGCATAGTGTAGTTTATAGTTATTCTTATGGAGTAGTCAAAACTAGAGGCCAGAATTCTGTGGTTATATGTATTTTCTGTCCTCACTTCCCCTGAGCAGTTTGCAGATCACAAAATTGAGAACGTCAATCTCCTAACATTTACAGGCACAAAAGGTAAGTAGACAGAAATGGGAAAGGATGAGAGGTATATAGAGGAACCAATGAATATCGTCAGACAGCTCATACCTTCACATTCAATTCTTTAGCTACAAGACTGGGGCTGAGAGGCAAGCGGCATTTGTTTTTCAAGAAAAAAGACTGGACACGTTCCATTCCACTTTGCAGAACCATCTGTTAACAACCAATTCTATGTTAAACTTCATTAAATAATATTTGCAGAAATGTTTTCATTATGAATAAAGCATTAAGTTATATCAGTGTTCTTTTATAACATAATCTGGGGTGTGAAACAGCAGTGGTGTATTTTGGGGTTATATATTTCAGTCCATATTACAAGGCTCAGAATTTTGTAAAAGAGATGAAAAAGTAACCTAACAACCTCAACTCTGCTTGATGTATGAAATATGACCGTATCATTAATAAATGTAACTGTGCTTTCATTCACATTTACACCTAACTTGATCACTTCACCAACCTGTCTGGCTGATCCACTCGTCTGCTTGACTTTTTCTGCAACCATTCCTAAGATCTGCACAAGTCTTGACTGCCTTTCCAGCTCTTCTCTCAGATTTTTGCCACAGATGGAAAGGAAGGCACCAAGGATATGCTCATACCTTATTCCATGTTTGGTATCATGCAAGGTATCCTTTAGTAACCTAAAATATTACATAACATTAGATTGGGTTTCCTTCACACATGCTTATTTGAGCCATATTTTGTACAAGTGCTCAAGGCAGGATGTATAATGTGTCCCTCTTCTATTTGTCTCCACAACAGCAACCCAATGAGGTAGGTTTAGCTGAGAAAGATAAAAACTGGCCCAAAGTCACCCAGTAAATGCCTGTGGCTGATAGTAGACTGGAAGCTGGATCTGTTCTCCCCTAATTCAACACTTTCACCACTAGAGCACACCAGGCCTCTGTAATAAGTTGGATTTAAAGTACTACAAAACAGCAGAATAAAGCAGAAACCACGTGCTTAACTGGCTGGTTGATCTATGACACAGAGAGTGGAAGGAGACAAAGGACTGATATAATGTTTGACTTAATATAAGCCTCAATGAACGTAGCCCTCACATTTAGAAGTCCCAGGAAGACATGAATATTTTGCATATGCACATACCCCTAAAATAGGGACATATGTAAAGTATTTTCCTTTCTATCCAAACCCAGAACTGCCTTACCACTTCAGACTCCTTAATTTGTCACTGGTCAGAACACATAGCAGATTGCACTGACTTTGATTTTTTTTTCTATCATCTAGGAAATGGTCTTAAGAGTGAATTGTTTTAATTTATGCAGTTTACTGTACACTGATTTTATTTTGTTGTTTAAAATAAATAATTTATACATAAAAATAAAACAAAGCAAATGTTCAGTTTCAAGAGAAGATTCGTACAATGGATCAACAGAGAATGTGTGGAAGAGAGGACAATAGCATCTGAAACCATTCTTTTATTTTCATTAATTTATACAGCACCTTCCACCACATTTACAATGTTTATGTAAAGTTAAATCAGTTAAATAATTTTTTTTGTCCCTATGTAAAGTATAATATTGCTTGACACAAACACATTATCTGAATTCAGCTTTAGAGGGAGACTAATGCAAGATGTGGTAATAATGCTTTGGAACACAAGAAAGCAATCCAGAACTTCAGGAAAAAAATACAATAGCTTTTTTAGAGCACCTAATTAATTTCTATCAGCAACAGCATATATTTTTTCTGGTTTATAAAGATTTATGAATATTCCTCATTTTTAAAGTTCTCACATTAGCTTTTTACTTTTTCTTGAAAATATAAACATTGTTGAAAGATGATAAAAAGAATATAAATCTTCTTACCAATATAGGTAGTGTGCTATTCGAATATTTCCTAATGCTCGGGCCAAGAGGAATCTGACTAAAGAGTTGTCCAGATAAGTTTCATATTTTAATGCCTAAACATACACAAAAGATTAAGTTTTATACAGAATTATAGTCTAGATTTAAAGGCAACTTAGCATAAGTGGTTTTCCGCATCAACAGTTTTTCAATTATATGAACTTCCCAAAATTATGCTCTTTAAAATATGAAACTATTCAGCACTATTTAAACTTACCATTCAGACTCAATCAATCAATCCATTTATCTATTCCATTCTGTCTGCCTTTGTTCTTAGGAAACATAGTCCATCTAAAACACTTGGATGTAGGAAAGATAATATTTACACTTTCCTTTCTTTTGCATCTCCTTATCAATTCACATATCAGAAGGTCTCTTCAAATTTTTGGATATTTTTTTTATTCACAGCCTTTGAATAACTATTACCTTATTAAATAGCAATACACAAACAAAATATAAAATTATTTTTAGAGGGAGCATATTCAAAATGGTTCTGAAGTGATATGATAAACAGTAAAAATATGTCAGCAGCATTGAAATTACGTTTTATTTTTATATTGATATTCCATAGTTTTTATTTTTATGAATAATTGGAATACAGTCAAGATTGTAACATAATATAAACCATCTCTTATCCTTATAAATGAAGAGACCTTTGAGATGAAAAAGGAAACATTAAGAAAGGTCTTAAATGATAATCCTAACATTCAGGCAGGCTCACAATAATTTACATAATTTAATTTGTATGTGAACCAACAAACTTTATTTTATTACATCTTTTTCCATTATTTCTCCTGAATTTTCGACACTTGCTCCTTCAGTCATTGGTCTCTATGAGTCTATTTTCTTCCTCACACAACTCTTCAATCATATACCATGGGCCGATAATATTTTCAGGCCTCAAACTCCAAAGATCTATTCTCTCTCTCTCTCTCTCTCTCTCTCTCTCCTTCCCTCCCTCCCTCCCTCCCTCTCCCACACCCACACACACCCACACTCACACCCAGTGAAATCTTATGAGAACACCATTTCACAACAGGTCAAGTCAACCACAAAATCCCATTAAGATTCAGAGATAATCTGCATGAGACTTTGGTCGTTTCCTTTTCTTTTTGATTATTTAAATCTGAGGTTTTACAGACACCATAAGTCTACCCTCATTTACTAGACTCAATATAAACAAATGCAAATAAATTTCACCCAGGTTGTTTAACTTTAGGGTGCCAAATATGCAACAGAAATTGCATGGAAATAACTGGGGAACAGAAAAGGATGCTGTTATAGAATGTTTAGTTAGTTTGTTTTATGCTGTAAATGCTATTGTTCAACTAAAATAGCATTTTATATTGTATCATTTATTAGACTTAATACCAAAATTCCTAATGGTAGTTCCATAAACTAATTGTGGTTTCTGATTAATTTCTATGCAGTTACAAATGCCATTTTCCCCATGTCAGTGTTTAACATGGTATTCTTCTGACCTGAACAAACTGGGGAAGAAGGTCCGCAAGTTCATCATCGTTTATTGCCTCAATCCACTGTACAGCTTTTGTTCTTACTTCTTGATCTGCAAAACTATAAACCAGAAGATTAGTTGAAATCATACTTGATTTAAGTTTGGCAAGAATACATGTTCCAAGGATATTTGGAAAACTTTTAGTGGGGAACATTAGCAATAAAGTGTTAGCCTATACAAAAAGGTTTTATGCATTAAATCATAATGCATAAACCATTGAATGTTTATAAGGAACAGAATAAGGGCCATTTTTCATGTCAGTAGACTAAATCAGAAAAGATACTGGTTTACTTAAATCAAATACTTAACCTTAAATTCTGATGTAACTATATACAAAAATATTAACATAATGTTACAGTTTCAGCCTAGCAAATAACTTAGAAAGGTAAGCTATACAAGATAATTTGTGATCTATCAATAACATCCACATGGCAAAATGCTGTGAAACTTTGTAACGTGGCTTTTTTTTTACAGAGGCTGTTTACTTAGAAATAATCTAGAAATGCTTAACAGTTGCTCATAATTTATTAATATTTTTCAAAACATATTAGAGTCTGAAATAAATGTATCTAACTTACTTTGCATTCAGCAATTCTAATGCAGTAAGTGGAGGTAAAGGAGGCCACTGTTGAAGTAGCAAATATATTTCAGGAAGATTAGTCAAATCCCAGCTTGGAGCACTAGCCAGGATCTTAGGCAGGCTGCCTGAATGTGTGCAACAATAATGTCGCTTCTCCCATAAAAATGCCTTATCTTTCCTAGATAATCTATAAAAGATAATTCCAAACATATTTATTAATTCATTACATTGCCATTATAGTCACTAACACCTAGAAGCCTTAAAACAAATCCTGGGTATAACTATTCTTTCTGAGGCAAAATCAATCCAAATATTAATGTTATTATTACAGCTACAATGAGTGTCATCATTCATCCTGCTCTCCTTTCATTTATTCCATTAGATCTTCAAAACAAGAAGTTCAATTTCAAAAATTCAGAGTAGATTAAAAGAGGAACTGAAAACTTCAAGTAGTATTGCGACTCATGTTTTAATAACTTTTTTACAAAAGAAATGCTGGCGCTATAAAACTGTCATGAATTAGCCTGGTAATGGGTACCAAGCATTTTGATTGGGTTAAAGCTATTTTAGTTGAACTGTACATTGGCTACTAGAGGAAACCTTGCATTCATAAGCAACTTTGACTATAAGGGTAACCTTATCCATTCCTTTCTTTTCTGTATGTTTCATCTGCAGCCTTATTTTTGACTTCCCAAACTCATTATCTTCCTCAGTTCTTTCTCTGTCAACAGGAAATTCTCAGCCTCTGACACTAATGGAATGTAAAATCATAAGTACTACTGTACTACGGTATACTGTAAGGATAGTCCTCGATTTATGGCCATAACTGAGCCTGATCATAAAGTGGGTCATCAGGTGACCACTCCAATTGTACAATCTTTTTTTTTGGGGGGGGGGGGGGGGGTGGCATAAACACAAATGCTGTGGTTATAAAGCAAATACTGCAGTTGTTAAAGAAACCCATTGTTTGCTGTTTTTTTGCTGGAAACTGGAAGTAAACACTGGTTTCCAGAAAAACCATAGTAAACTGTGGTCATGTGACTATGGAATGCTGCAAACAGCTATAAATGTGAGCTGGCTGCTGACTGCCCAAAATGCAGTCTTGTGGCTGTGGGGGTAGGTGGGTAAGGGTTGCTGCCATACCAGGTCATACATTTTTGGGAAGGTTCATCTTTACTTTCAACAATTGCTAAGTGACTGGTTATAAGTCAAGGACAACCTTTTAACCTCTGATTAAAAGTCAACAGTCTGAGTACCCTTCAATTTGTTTATAAATGTCTTTTTTTAAAAAAATATTGTTATATGATAGTTCAAGATTTCAATTATTCAACGTCCCCTCCTGAGTAACAGTTGGACTGTATTTTGAAAACGAATGATGCACACTGGTCATATGTAGTTCCCAATATTCTTTAGAATCTCATCAAAAATTGTTATATATGCAGCAGAAATAAATACTAGGGAATGATCATATCTAATAATCTACATATGAAATGTTAGGTTTGAAGTAACCAAGAGAACATACCCATATGTACCCTCTTTGGAAATAATGGAAAGAAGACGCTCCCTTGAATCTTTTTCCAATGTTTCTATAGAATTACATGTGGAGTTGTTTGCAGCCTGAGGAATTTTGTATATAATGTCAAATGGTAAAGAAGGAAAGTCAACCTGAAATGTTAAAATAATAAAACAATAAATTACAAAATAGAAGGCTCTACTGGCACCTCACCGTTTTTCCCACTTAAATTTCAATCTCTTTCACTTTGTTTCTTTTCCTTCCCTACTATCTATATACTATTAAAAACTGATTCCTGCAATCTTTAACTGGGCAAAACAGTGAACTGTAGGACAAAACATTTTGAATGAAGGTACTGTACTTCAAATGGACTCACTTATAAAATGCATCCAAAAACTGGAGCCCATAACTCCCATGGCAAATTTTATAAAACATTTTATGACATAAACATTATCATAAAGCAATTTATGACATAATACAAAATGTCATAAAATGTTTCCTATGCTGATGTTTGACTGTGCTATATAGTTCAATATGAGCTAAATAGTTTATGACAGAATACAAAATGTCATAAAATGTTTCCTAGGCTGATATTAGACTATACCACACAGTTCAGCAAGGGTTATTTTCATCCCAACTTTTCTAGTGAAGGCAGTATATTAGATGCTCTCTGACCATTAAAGGCATTGGCAGAATCTGATAAGGAAATACCCCTAAAATAATGCTCCAACAGAGCATCATTGTCTAGATACACAATGAAGTACATCATAGGAAAATAATATCTGGGAGCCATTTATAGTACCTGAAAGTTTGTCATGTATAATGAATACAGTAGATGTACTATATATGAGGTAGGCATTGATGGTAGAAACTCAAGTGCTTGCTATTTTGTTTACCATATCAAAGTGATACCCATTTAAAAATGGAAAGAACAGTAAATTAATATTCAAAACTGCTTCTAAGTTTAGTTTACCGCAACATTATTCCCCTGGCGCTTTGTGTCTGGACACTGCTTCTTCTCAAAAGTGGTCAGAAAGCTGCAGTTTCCAAATCATTTGCTTCTGACTTGGCATGTTAAGCATGTAATATTTATACATGCTTACATACTATTTCTGAGAGCCACAAACCACAAATTGTCACTATGGTTTACAATAGATAATCAACATTGCCTGTTTCCAGTTAACACCGAACCCTTATTAATCCATAAATGAGAAGTGCATCTCTCAATATTCATGGGAGGAACCACTGGCTGAAACTTTTGAATGCCCATGCAACCATTTCCAAATAATAAGTACATATCTCTGCATTATACCAATACCCCAGGATAAAAGAACAATCAAATAAAAATATCCTGAAACAATGTATTGGCAGAGAGGCATTTAGGATTAAAATGGAATATGTTCAGGAATATGGAAATGATTCTAATTTATCTTATTAACTGTGCAATCAGCTTTGCATGTGAAAAAATACTTAAGTTTCAGATATGAACCTTTACAAAATGTCTACTCTCAAGTGCAAAATTATTATTCTATGTTTAAATTGGCCTATTTGAGCATCCTGGAAACTTCAAATTGCTTGAAATAGCTTGTTGAATAATTCTAGTAAAATAAAATAAAAATATTTTCATATACTATTTTGTGGATGATTTGAAAGACCAAATAGAAATGGGATCTATTACTATTGGGAAACAGAGCATATTACATTTCACTACTATAAACAGTATATAAATGCTTTTTTTAATCATTGAGGAAACAGTATTACCTGCAACATTATCCTTTCCATTAGGTTTCCTTTTCTATGGGCTACTCCAGAGACAGTATTTAAGTTTTGAGGAGATATCCAAAGATGTAAAAGTTTTGTCCCACATGTTAACATTCTAAAAGTATAGAATATATAATTTAATTTTATGACATTCAAGAGACAATACATTTTAGAAAACAAAAAAAATATCACCTCAGGAATACCACTAATTCCTCATTTATAATTGCCAGTGCATTAAATCTGAATATAATTTAATAACTTTCTACAATCTCTTTTTGTAGAAAATTTTATATCGAGGCAATCCAAAATACTTGAGGTTCCTAATCCACATAGTAGGAATGTTAATACAAAATAGAAAAAGACACCATTAGACTATACAACACTATACAAATCTTTTTGTATGTGCTTTTTTCAAATGCTTAAAGGCTATATTTATATACAGTTTCCACCCCAAATATCCGATGTATTATAGCTTAAAAAGAGCTCTGAAACCTACAGTTAAACACAACTTCATTTTAGTTGTACATTAAGACAAGTTGTGATAGTGGTTGTTATATGGACAGTCAGCAAGAGTCAATGACTTCTACGTAACAAACTGTATAATAACACCTACATGCATGTCACTTCTCAAAGAACTGGCAAGACAGGTTCTTATCCTCAAAAGACCCAAATCTAAAACGATGTCTAAAGATCCAACAAGGCTGATGCTTCAAACCACTCATCTGAACAGCAAAATTAAGATTAAAGAAACACTCTAGCATTTTACTGTTTGCTTCAAATACTTACCGTTCAAAGTCAAAGAGCGGTAACGAAACCTGACCCAACATTCCTGGGCCTTTTCTCTGTTTATTTGAATCTGGTGAACCATTTTGATTTAAAATACCAAAAAGAGTAAGGCATAGGATGGACTCTAATGGCAACTGAGAAATTTGGATGGGAAAAATTATTCTGTAAAATAATAGAAGTGGGTTGTTACATAAATATTGATTACATTTTAGAAAAATAATTAGTTAATATGTTAAATGCCTGCCAAATCTCCTTAATGTTATGTCACTGTATAAAATAATTTCATCAATATCTAAAAAACATTTGATCTCAAATATTATACATAACTGACATAAGATTTTTATGCAAATAATGGCTAATTAAAATATATTTTTTCTTAAAATGGTTGGTTCCACACATAAGATATAGAACTGATCATCTAGTTTCAAACCAACTCAATTTGAGAACCTAGCCGACAAGTTTTATATTTGCTATATTTGACAAATTCATTTTGTTTGTGTGTGAAATATTTAATTCTACAAATGGTTCCTTCTAATTCCTAGGTTTGTGCAAAACAATCAATTAGTGTTAAATATATTCCTTGAATAAACTGTAGACCCTAAAAAACCAACTTGCTTGCTCCGAGGCTTTCAAATGTCTTTTAGGTATGCCATTATAAGCAGAATTATTTTTTTTAACCATGTAGTGCAAACCCCAGAGATATTGAGAGGAGCTTGAAGCAGCCATACTGAGGTTTTGAATAGCTATGTGTCATGAGTGGGATTCCACTGTTGTCTTCTTCAATATCTAAAACACACACTTGAATAACAGAACACTCGAATAACACACTTATTCAAGTGTTCACGTCTACACACTTGAATAACAGAACAATGAGCACTTCTCCCAGTCACTCCCTAGCCTGTAGTTTTGAATTATATTGAAAGGTCTTTTTACTAGCTGACAAAGTTAATGGGATTTTCAAAAATTAATTAGCAGTTTAAAGGAGTGTGACAGACATTTACATAAAGAAATTCTTTTTTGAGTCTGTAAACTAAAAAAAACAGACACTTACAATTCATCCCATTTAATCAAATAGAAGAACTTCTTATATGTGCCAACCTTCTTGGACTGGACTGGTTTGAAGAGATCTTTTCCATTATGGGTCAAAGAGCAAACCAGATAATATTTTTCATAGCTAAAAACAGAGCAAAATGTAGTCAATAAAAATGAATACAACATTCAGGGTAAAGGTACAGTTTACTGTAAATACTCACACTGAAACCCAGTTATTAGGAATTCCATGAGCAGCAAATATGGTGAACTGGAGATGCTCTGTGGCAGTCCATGCTTCTTTAGTGCTTTTCGTAGTCCCTGGAGTGCTTAATGAAGGACTGTGGTATGAGTTCAAGTAGAGTTGAAGAAGAGCATGGACTGCAGAGGTCAGTTGATCTATGCTCATTTGAAGAGGATTTTCAGATTGCGAAGAACCTAGATAATTGTTTTTTAGTGTTAAGAAGGTAATGATCAGAAGGTGATGATCAGAATACCCTTTAAAAGATTGAACAAAGGTGTTTAATTTGTATTTACCAATTGGAGTCTTGCTAGTGTCATCAGATGATATTATAGATCCCTGTCCAATGAGATATGAAAAAAGTTATCAATCTCTCCAAATTGGGAAAAAACCTTTGTTGAATTGTTATTAATATTTCTGCTTATTACTAAGATATTCATGCCACCAAGACCTTTTGTACTCCTTATTTGTACTACAAATAGTCCTCAACTTATGTCCACAATTGAGCCCAAAATTTCTGTTGTTGGGACAATTATTAAGTAAGCTTTGCCCCATTTTACGACCTTTGTCACAGTTAAGTGAATCACTGCAGTTGATAAGTTAGTTGTGAATTGGGTTTTCCCATTGACTTCGCTCGTCAGAAGGCTGTAGAAGGTGATTATATGACCTTCAAACACAGCAATGGTCGTAAGTATGAACCGGTTGTCAAGCACCTGAATTTTGATCACATGATCATGGGGATGCTTCAAAGGTCATAACTAAAGAATGGTCATGTCACCTTTTTCAGTGCTGTTGTAACTTTGAATGGTCACTAAATGAACTGTTGTAAGTTGAGGACTACCTGTATAGAAGCAGAGAGTGGCTTGAATCAGGTGGTGCTCATACCATCACCATTGCAAAGTTTGTTCGTCAGCAATCAGAATTTAAAAAAATCAGTCTCACTATATCAACTTGCTTAAAAATAATTAGCATGGTGTAGAACAGGGGTGTCAAATTCACAATCCGCAGGCCGGATGTATCATGTGCTCCCCCCCCAATTTAGCAAAGGGGGAAAAAGTCCAGATACGGCACATGACGCCACTGTAATGATGTCAGTTTGACACCTCTGGTGTAGAAGATGGGGCTGAATCAATATCTGCCCCACTGCATAAATGGGATATAGCAGAAAATTGAAGGATTTAACTAATTACCTCAGGGCTCTTATTCCCTGGAAGGTTAACTGTTCTTCTTAGATTCTTTACAGCTGCAGTAATTTCTGGAGTCTCTACCCCATCTAATGAATAGCAAATTTTTCTGACAGCTTTGATGACTGGTTCCATTGCTTTAAACCGATTCTGATGAGAGAGAGAAAAATAAACAGGGTAAATTAAGGGTAAACCCAACATTTCTCAACTACATTTCCATTAAACCAACAGAACATCCCCTTCTATTCCTTCCATAAATACTCCCACAATTAGAGGATATATATACACCTCTTGATTTACAGGAATATGCAGGGAGAAAAGAAATCTCTTCCACTGACAGATGCCATTTCATTGGCAAATAGTAGATGTTTGGGGCATATATTAGAGAATAATATGTTAGAGAATAAGGCAGGCATTATATATCATGAGTCCATTTAAATATTTTAAATTTAGCTGCATCCCTTCTTCCACTGGCTGCCACCTAACTCTAAAGCATATTGTACTGACACCAAAGAAATTGATGACAAGTTCACAGAACAGTATTGTGTATACAGTAATCTACATAGAGGATTATTTGTTCAGTGCGGGGATGTTCTGAACCTGTGTGTGGCAAACAGTGGCACAGGAAATATCATATGGAAAAAGAATGGGAGAAAGAGTGAACTCATTTAAATTTTGGCCTATTGTAGATGTTGTCAGTGTCCACTTTTTTTACTTCATTGTTCTTACCAGATGAAAATGGTGTACTGGTGACAAGAATAAGCTAAAGTATGGTTCAGGGAAAGGGGTCTCCAAACCCTGGGCCGTGGTCTATTCGGAAATGGGCACACATGCGTGCAGCTCAATTCTCTCTTGAAAACATGCAGCTCAACTCACACAAGCAGCCGGCTGATGCATATGTGCACACGTGCGCAGTTCAACTTGCACCCAGCCAGGCTGTCAAGCTGCAACGGTTGGGGACTGCTGGCTTAGGGAACTACTATGTTTCAACTGAAGGACAAAAAGTAATGTATGAAGCTTAAAGTAGATTGGAAAGTGAGGCTTAGGAAAAAAATTCGTATTTGAGCAATAACATCTAGCAAATCACAAAGAGCTAATGGTACAATATACATACATACTCACACACATACATATATATATATTATAAATCCATGATTAGTAAAGCATGAAATGTACTGGAAGTGGGCTGTGTGAATCATTCATAGGGGTGTCTTGCAACATACATTGATGGGGGGGGGGGAATCAGCTCTCCCAATGAGCTGAATCTTTTCCAAGAGGCTCAGATCTTCTTGACAATCAGAAAGCCTTTATAGCAATCAGAGCCTTCCAGAAGATGCAGCTATTTCAAGAGTTCAAGGAGTATGTCACTCACAACAATATGCATTGCCAAGTGCTTCTTTGCATAACCATAATAGGAGACAACTTGAATGATAATGTATACCTTATTTTTAAGCAGTATGTCAACTTGATTGTGATAAGCTTCTAATAGTTCTTCAAGAGAGTGGCTGGAACCAATAAGAATAATCCTATTACTTGTGACATACTATTAGTATAAGCTTTGTAAAATAAATAAAAAGACACCAACATAACACATGCTTGATTACAAAATATGATGTTTGATTGTGCCTGGAATGAGATTCCCCTCTGAGATCTATATGGCTCCCATCCTGATGGCATTCCAGAAGGTCCTAACAAGCTGGCTGTTTTCCCAGACATTGGAATAGGCTAGATGGAACCCATGATTAGAAATACTTGAATACACATTTTTGGAGTTAGTTGTTTGGATGTTTATTTTCCATTATTGTATTCTTATTTATCATATTGAATCTGCATCTTTTATATATATATATATATATATATAAATATATATATATATGACCCTAGAGTTAGTTTGGTGCTAGGCAGCACCAAAATTGAAACAAATAATATTATGACAAAGTTGTTACCTCTGAATGGTCTCTCTGAAAAGCTTTTTTACATGGCAGAGATGTTTTGTCAAATCTATTGTTGTCCCATCATCCTCTACCTAATAATAGAAAATGTATAAGTAATTTGCCAAACTTTTCAATATTCTCCCTTGACCTTTAAAAATAATCTAAAGATGGATAGACAGGTTTATTCTGAGAGTTCTGAAGATGAGAAAATTAGCATGTTTTGCTACCTCCTTAAATAGAAAACTGTAAGATGTCTGCTTTCGATTCTCTACTAAAAAGTGACTGGTTGTTAAGTTCATAAACAAGAACTAATATTTGATAGCATTCTCCAATTTAATTAGGTTTACTCAGGATGAATTATCAATTTTTATAACCAACTTATATGTAACCATAATTTGTTTCACAGGTGTATTCATTTTTAGTTTCATTGCTGAATTTCTTAGACTTTAAATAAGCAACAACCCACAGTCAAAAAACTTCATGCTTCCTGCATTTGTGTTTTCACCTGTAGTAATGCTTGCTGTTCTCAACCCTAGCCTTTAAAATGCCAGGTAATTCTGCAAACAGTATGTGGAATATCACAATTCAGGAGTCCTTACTATTTAGTCAGTTCAATATGTCATTAGGGCCTATTTCTAGCATACTGGAGAAGAAATATATTGGCTGATCTTTACAGAACAGAGTAAGCATGATTAATTTTAAAGGACCACCAGGAAATCACAGGAATATAGTCTATACTGGGACGGTGGAAACATTTTCAGAACGCAATAGTAAACCACCTATGTTTTGTTACAACAAGGACAACTGAATGAATACATACACTAGACACCAGGATCTGAGCTCAATTTGAAAGTTTTTTTTTCTTTCTAAGGCTAGTATCAAGGGTGGAGATCTTGGGATGTATCATCTTGTGAAAATCTAGTTCTCTGGTGAAAGCGCTAAAACCAGGCAAGGTGGAAAGAAAGAGAAAAAGAGGATGACCAACAGCAAGATAGATGGAATCACAGTGGCAATGGGTGAGCTGCTCGAAGATCTGAAGGACCAGGTTAGTGACTGTCATGGTAAAAATCTAATTGTAATGAGGATGGTTTACAATTTTTACAATTCTAATCACGGAAACTATTTCTACTGAAAGAACTAACACCAGAAAGAGACTTTCTGGCTGCTCTTGAATTATTTGATGAGCTGCATAACAGAGAGAGGAAGAAAATAAACCAGAGATAACTCATAATTCTAGGTACATGTGAATCATGGTTACACGACAGAGTTCACAATACAATAAAAACAAGGAATATGCAATACATCTAAAATAATAAATGGTATTTATTTTGATAAGTGAGTTTCCTTTGTACTTACTGTTCGTGCGAGATCTCTACAAATATTATTATTAGTTAATAATTGTAGAATAATCTCTGTGTCCCACTTTCTGCAGTTTTGAATATACTCATGGCTTCCAACAGAATGCTTGCTGTGAAAACAACAAATCTGTGATTGTTCACTATTTCAAATTATCAATAAGATTTTCAACAAACATGAGTTCAAGTCCCTCCCTCCCTCCCTCTCTCTGTCTCTCTCTCTCTCTGCCCAATCCAACGTAGTAAGTAGAAAGTAGAAGAACTGTTTGTTGGATATATTCATATTCTTTGCATTATTTGTAAAAACAATAAAGGCAGGATGCAAATAAATAAATAAAAATATATGGACTGGTTTTTAGAATTCATGTCTCCCTTCCGTTCATTAGTTTTCCTATTTCTCTTTTGAAATATTGCTTAGCAGAACTAGAAATGGGCCAATAGCAAACATGGTTGGAAAAGCTAACACAGATTATTCTGAATGCTTTACTATGTTATTAATATTAATAATAAATAATTAGGATGCTAGTCTACTGGTCTTCTAAAGTATCAGAAACACACTGATCAAATACATTTCTCAAATAAAATAACTCTAGACATATTTAAGACACTATTATTTTGGCATATTTAATTAGAACACAGAATTCATATTCCAAGCTTTGTCTTGTTCTGATGTAATATTGCCCTATTACTGTATAGCATGCATTCTAAACATGAAAAGTTCGCAGAATCACTCTTAATAAAACTTCAGGTTAAAAGATAACCTAGAATCTCCAATAAGCCAAAACTATATTAACTTTAAAAGTAAGTAACTGACAAGACATATGCTTTTACAATTAAATGCCATTTTCAAATATTATAGGATTCTGCATTAGACAATTGAATGTATTCCATGACTGCATATTTTTTCTAAGAATAGTTAAGTTTGACAATGCTAGTATGACATTATAAATCTGAAATTTAAACAGATAAGAAAAAGCATGATTAATAAAATAAAATATAAAATATGCCATATCTTAAATGAATAGAGTTCCAAATTCAATGATAACACCTATTTTAATTCTTATTGCTAAATTACTTATACCTTTTCCAGTTACCGGTAGAAACAATCAAATTTGCCTTCACTATAGTTTTCTAGACATCACGATGTAACCAAAGCAAAACTTACTTCTGTAAAACTTCTTCTTGTCCACAAACTTTTAAAATATAACTGCCAATATCTACATCGTTCAAGTCATCATGTACCCAGCAAAGAGCCTGCATTATTATAAGTTCAACTGGAGAACTCACTGTTCGGAGAAAAACAAACACAGAAGGTAACAAAAACAATGAACTGAAGGCAGTTTTGTAATATACAAAAACCATGGAGCCATTAACTCAATGCAACCCAAACCATTTTTGGAGTAATATAGTTAGCAATTTGAGAATAAAAAATCAACAGCAATTTATTCTCAAAAATCAATTCAGTTGTAATCAAAGAGCATATTTAATGCTCTATGTTTACATTAGACTTGGAAAAACAATGTAGGAAAACAAAACATATGTTGCAAACATAATGGATAGAATTAAAAATACAGGTAAAAGTCCACACATTTTAAAAATTAGTTCCAATCGAAAAGGCTCCTTTAAAACTTTCTCTAGGAATGTGTGTCTGATAACCCATGAAAGTCAAGCTGAAATTTCTTAAAACAAGGGTCTTCAAACTTGACAGCTTTAAGACTTGTGGACTTCAACTCCCAGAATTCCTCCTCCAGTCATGTTAGCTCAGGAATTCTGGGAGTTGAAGTCCACAAGTCTTAAACCTGCCAAGTTTGAAGACCCTTGTCTTAAAACCACGAAGCTTATGAGGCATGCCCTGCCTGGCAAGAAGGAAAAAAGAAAGCATTAAAGGCAGCCAAATATTTCCTTTTGGAACTACTGGTGCCCTGCGGAGTCCTAGGAAAGACGTGCTTTCTTTCCAGAGCCTTGGAAAAGTAAAGGCTGCTTTTTCTGTTTTTCACTATAAAGCCAGCCTCAGCACTCCAACCTTAGCCAGGAGCATAGGAAAAGGGGCATTTTAAGACTCTGAAGTTGAGCGGCTGCTTTTAGCATTTTTTGCATTTCCTGGCAAAAAAAATGTGATGCCTTTTTGCTGTGTTGCCAAGCTAAGGCAAGTTCTTTCCCTGCCTTGTCGTCACCCTGCGCCTATGAAAACCCCTATAATTTGCACGTGTCCTGCTCTAGGATTCCCAGGGACTCACCCAAACCCACACGATCAATGATCTTGCCTAGGAAAACCAAGATGTAGTTGTAAAGTTGAGTCTACTCACGTGGTGACCCTATTAACAACTGCAATGACTTACAACCTAAATTGTGGCTGTGAGTCAAAGATTCACGGGTATAATTCAATTATCAACATTATTTTGACAATCTTTCAATCTACAGAAATGTATCTATTAAAATTAAAGTGCACTTACCATCACATGTGAATGTCACTGGTTGTTGAAAACCCCCAATTTCTATTGAAATCTTGATGCTGGAGTTCTCTCCACTTACATTTCTTTGCAACATGACTGGACTCAACACGAAACCCAAGTTTGTATCATGCTTGGTATGAGGAAACTTGGTCCTTAATCTGTAAACAATATGTTTATAAATGGAGTTGTTACAATGATCCTTGAAGTAACAAACAAGAACATAAACCAACACAAAGCGCATCAAATTGAAGCATGATTATGCAGGATTCCCGTTGAAATCAATGGAATTTCTGAATTAAAAATCCTTAGATTTACAGATAGTCCTCGACTTACAACAGTTCATTTAGTGACTGTTCAAAGTTACAATGGCACTGAAAAAAGTGATTATGAGTGTTTTTCACAATTACAACCTTTGCAGCATCCTCATGATCAAATGATCAAGATTCAGATGCTTGGCAACTGGTTCATTTTATGTCCCAAGGTCATGTGATCCCCTTTTGTGACCTTCTGACAAACAAAGTCAATGGGGAAGCCACATTCACTTAACAACCAAGCTATTAACTTATCAACTGCAGTGATTCACTTAACACCTGAGGTAAAAATGGTGGTAAAATGGGGCATAACTCACTTAACATATGTCTCACTTAACAACAGAAATGTTGGTTCAATTGTGGTCACAAGCCGAGGGCTACCTAGCTATCTATTTTTCTTTAAATTATTTATTTAATCCCCTCTCTATTCTGTTAAACAACATACCTTGGCAGATTTAATATTTTGATCATCTTAAATCATTGATTTCATCTTTTAAAATAGTTTTTAAACTGATTTGTGTAAACCTAGCAATTCTGAAATAAACTACAGATTTTCCTAGTGACTTTTTTCTACCCCCTTCCTTCCTATATACTTGTGTAGCCAAACAAATGCCATTCATGCAAATGAGGAAATATCAGCAGGCTAGAAGGAAACACAAAGTATGCAAAATGATGTTTTTTAAAAAAAAAAAGAAAATTGGGAGGGAGAGATCAAACCATCTGTTCCCTTCAATTAGCAATTGATAACTCTTTGCTTAGTGGCAAGAATGTTGACTGGCTGTTCAAAAAAGGAACAACTTTGAAAAGGATAGAAAGATTCAGAAAGGAAAGAAAGATTATTATCCTGAGGCACCCTCTCAAGAATTCATAGCAAATTCTGTATTGGTGAGCTTCCCGGTCCCAGATTCAGCAAAGCAGCCCCAAACTGAAACATTTCCACTACCATCCTTTGGTATCAGGTTTTCTGGTGAAATGTTCTCTTTTGTTTTTGTTATGGCCTGCCAGTGGCCAGCAGAGCTGGCAGCAGATTCAGACAGTGAGGAGGTTGGGGAGGAACATGGACCAGTCCTGGAGTCTGGGAAAGGCTCTGATGAGTCTCTGTGTCAGAGGCAGAGATGGGGCCAGGGCCGTCTAATGGTTGTCAGCTGTCTTCGGAGCCGGACATCAGTGAGGCAGAACAACAGCTGGACCTTGTTCCCAGTGTGCGCATGCGTGGAGCTGCCAGAAGAAGGGAACAACTAAGGAACATGGGTTGACTTGGGAGTAAAGCCACAGGTGGACAGTGAATGGCCCCTCCCATAGGGAATAAAAGAGGAGCAAAAGGGGAGTGGGGTTTTGGAGGAGACAATTAGTTCATTTGGGTGAAGATCTGTTCCTGTGTTCTTCCCAAGTATTGTTTGCTACAGTGTGGCATCTGAAAGATATCAGCCTGGCAACTCTCCAAGCCTGATAAAGATCTATAATAGTGAAATATCTGGAAAGACTGTTGGCCGGGACTTGATCCACAAGTCCTGATCTCTGCCTTAGATGCTCATGACCAAACTTTAGTCTGGTCCTGAAGTTCTTTCCTCCAGGCAGACCTCCCATCTAATTTTTGCAGGTTCTTTCTAATGGTAGACATATACACTTTTGACATCATTAGTGATAAGAGTTATCATAGCTCATATGATAAAATTTGAGGGTTCTCAGAGATTTATTCCAGCAATTTGCATTCTGCTCTTGGACTGAATTTGTTGGGACAGCCTGGCCTGGGCTAGTTGGCAATTATTTGTATTTTCCATTTGTAGATAATCTTCCAGGTAGTGGAATGATTGGCCCTCTCTTTAAATCCTCCCCAGACTTATAGAGTCTACAATATTTTTTCTGAGCTTCAAAAACTCTTTTAATCTTATAGTGATAAGACACACTTTAGTAGCGAAGACCATCTCAAACTAAGCATTCAGTTTAAATAAAACTGGTTCCTTCAAGATCCTTTCTAATGAAGCTCTACTCACTGCCACCTAATCTGGTGCACCTGATTCTAATTTAGGTATTTGAGGCAGCCATAAATATACTTACTTTTTCCATGTGCGCTATTTACATTTAAGTTACACAATGAACTACAAAATTTAAATGGCATGTATTCATTACATTCAATTATTTTTATCAATATTGTTGAAATGAACATGGAATAACTGTTGAAATAATCATAAACTTCAATGGGACCTAACTTATTTTTTCTCATGGCTGAATGTCATGTAAAATATATATCAGCTTGTCCAATCATTCCACAATGTAAGATTGGACAGGATGTGTTTCTGGCAATTTTCTAAACATTTGCCTTACACAATAATTTTCACTATATATTTAAATGACTCCTGTAATTTGTTAGATTTATATCCCACTTAAATAACTCAAGATGGTGAACTTTCCTTCTCCTATTTTTCCCAAAGCAACAACTCTTTAAGGTGTGATGGGCTGAGAAAGAGTGACTGGCCCAAAGTCACTCATCCGGCTTTCATGCCTAAGGCAGAACTAGAACTCCTGGTTTCTGGGCCAGCATCTTTAACCTTTAGTATGGAAGGATTTTGTTGGTTTGTAGGCTATAATGATGCCAAAGAGTTGGGTTAGGCTGTTGGTGGTTTCTAAGATGTTTTTGATGTATGAAAGAATTATCCTTTTCATGACTTGCAACACTTGAACTGTGAGTATTTAATTGAATAGACCCATTTTAATGAAGTTGCATGGATATCCATTGATTTGAAAAATATGTAATTAATCTATTTTTGTCTTCTGTAGTACTGAATTATTACACTGCAGTTTTTTTCTAACCTTTTTTTTTTTTTTGCTTAAGATGAAAATGTAATTTACATAATGAATGCATAGCTGGGGTTGGGAGGATTTTCATACACCATTATTCTTATACTTCATTTGTCCTGTTTGATTAGATTATTTAAGGTTTTTCTTTTCATTTTGCTATCCAATTTAGGTATTGGATTTGGACTTATGAGACTGTACGTCTCCCTGAGTTTCAAGCATTATTTTGCTATTAGAATATATTATGTTATGACAGTTATTGACCCAAAATCACTCATCCTTTATTCATGCCAAAAGGAGGATCAAAATATAGTCTCTCAGCTTCTGCTACAGCATTTTAACTCCTATATAAACTATTTCTCCAATTTCAGTTGCTTAATACTCCCTATAATTTAGTCCTTTCTGGAGCATGCTGTGTTCTAGACATGGAACAGCTCAACATTCTGGTTTAGTTTCATCTTTTTCTCTTGGGATTAGCTGCAATTTGGGTCTCTGTTTTTCTTTTTGTCCACTTGTTTTTCCAAAGTAGTTTTGATAATAGTCCTTCGATGGGTTCTGGTTTTATAGTTTGCTCCAATTTATATTTTGTTGTTGTTGTTGACTAGCTGGTATTAAGTCTAAGGTGTGCATTCACTATTATCAGATGTATCATTTTCTGACTGCTGTCTTCTGCTATTTTCCATTTGGTTGCACCACAACCAAATGGACTCACAACTTCTGAACCCAGCTCGCTCTTTTAAGCAAAGAAATAGCACATTGTATCAACTCACACAATTGTACATTATTCATCAAACCTTGATTCAGCCACCCATGTCCAACCTATGCTGTACATATGTAAACAAGAGATTTAGTTGTGCTAAAGGACCACATCATACAATGTTATTCTTTGCTTAGTGTGATAAGTGAACCAAGACATTTAATTAACTTGCTGTGACTAGCTTCATTGTTAAAATGTTCAAAACCTAAAAATATGAACAGGAAGAAAGATTCCTGTAACCAGTGTATAAAATCAATACCGATAATTTATTTCAAAGGCACACATAGCTTACTATTCATTGTAGGAATAGAGCTGTGTTAGTATGGTAACAAAGAACAGAACTTTGTAGGAATCATTTCAGATTGCACCAGTAGAGCTAAACCAATTTCATTGTATACATGATGTACAATGACAATAAAGGCAATAACAATAAACACATTTTATTAAAAGACATGAGCTTTATTGATCTACAGTTCATTTTATGAAAGCTTATGCCATGTAATAAAATGTGTTACTTGAAAAGGGGCTACCAGATTCCTGACATTACATTTCCATTAATAATAGTAACTTAGTTTGACTTCAATTGCTGCTTACTTTGCAATGGCATCACAAAATGCTGCTTGTTCTTGATTTTGCCATTCAACATTTTTTAGAAGCTTGTTTTCTCCTGGCAGGCTACTGGTCCCATTGTCTGTCTGAAATGTAAGGATAAAAAAGTGAAATGAGAATAATAAAATATATAATTATACTGTATATAATAATATACAGGAACAGCTTAGAAAGCTGATCTATATTGATCCATTTACTAATGGAAATAATTTTCTAACAGAAATGAACAGTCTATGCTCTATTAATGCAGAAGGTCACACATCCTAATGACCAATGCTGCTTTCAGCTAGCAACTTTTAGCTGGTACAGAAATACTGGTGATGAAACAAGTGAAAGATCTCCAATTTTACTACATTCAACAAAGAAAAAAATGTAATGGTAGTTTTTGCTATTGTAATAAACATGTGTTGAGTCTAAATTTAGCTGAGTTATTGATATTTGATGGAAACAAGATATTTCATTACTAACTCATTTACTTTATAAATGTCTAACATTAGGTAAAGTGAAGTTTTGGATGCTGCAGCTACATGTTAAGATATATACATGTATCTTAAAATGATGAGTTTTAATGCCAACTGTAAGGCTTCCTCCAACTGTAAGACTTATTTCCAACAAAGGTGGCTTACCAAAGAGAATACAGAAGTATTCTAAATTTTTCTTACTGGATTTTGGTTAAAAAAAAGGAAGTCAATGGAAAGACTTAGGTAGTTTAACAGCCTAAAGCAGTAATTTCTGAAACCATAACACCCTGAATTTGGCAAAATTGTTGTACAACAGATGTTTTGTCTAAAAGTGTCTCTAGATGAGCTAATTAGGAAGGGATTCCCTGTAATTTTGGATTACAGTGGAACTCAGATGTGCTGGATATTTTTGTGCTTTATATGCTTTGTAATTTCTTTAAATTTTCCCAGACACACTGATTCAAAGATTCCATTCCACAGTATTCAAGAAAAAGAGCCAAGCTACAATGTGGCAAAAACTGAAGTTCCATAAGTGTCTCTGCTTTTTTTGACATTTCTCTCCAGTTAAGGAAAAACAGTGCTTAATTACATTAAAGCAAATTCTCCTAGAAAATTTCTATTTAAAAGTAATAAATGTATCAATATCTAGCATAAACCTTATTAAAGCATGCCTGTGGGCACCACTAGATTTTGCCCACCTGCCTTAGAAAACTACTGTTTTAGATTGAAGAGTACCCTGATGCACTGGGATCAAGACTTAAACCAATTTATTTTTGGTACATGGGTAATTTTTTATTACTTAGGAGCATTATATCAAAAATTTGGAGAATAGAAAGTTGTACGTGTGCATACGTACATGCACGCAAACGTATACACACATACAAGCTTTCTTAGTTCCAACTACATTTGCTTAAATATATCCAATGTAACATAAAATATTATTAGGTTACTATGAGGCTCTCGTGGTACTAAATTTTGAAATGCCTAGAAAATGAGGATATTTCAAAATCCCATAAATTATTTTGTTCCTGTTATGGAAACATGTGAGCAAATATTTATAGAGCTGTTCATAGTCAAGGGGGTTCATAAAAGAGAATTTGAATATTTTGAGAAGAGGACTTGCAACATTCCTGCCACCTGTGCCATTTTGTGTCAGCCATTATTACAGCCACTCATTTGCTTCTGATTTAAGGGACATGTCACAGGATTATGTCGCATCAGGAAATGTCTAATTTAATATTGCCAAAGAAACAGCATATAATTAAACAACATTTTCTGAATAGCAAAAATGGAGCTGGGCTAGTCCGGCTTTTGGCAAGCTGTATAGCATTGAAACAGCTAGTACCAAAATCAGGCTAGAAAAGATAATTAAAATAGTATTATTTATGTGAAAAGTATTAAGTAGTCCCATTTAAGAACATGTTCTGTCCTTAGGTCGAATTTGTATGCAAACCAGAACCCTATTATTGTATATCACTGTATAATAAATTAAAACCATTCTGTATTTGACTTCAACTACTGTGTATTTGATTCAAATTTTGTTGCAATATGTTCCATTCTTAGTTATGGCTCACCCTTAAACCAGAGCATTTTTAACCTGGGGACTTGCTGTATTTTCAAAACCATATAAAAATTATTGCGATACACAGATTTTTAGTTATCAAACTTTCTTGCAAGAATTAGCCATTTCAAGATCCCATTTGGAATACACAGAGGATAAATACACACACGTTGAATGTTATTGGTTGTTAATCTTGAGGAATATTAACGAATAGGATGCTGCTCTACACCTATTTGTACAATCACAAGGGAACAACTTTTCGTCAAATTTGGTAAGAAAAGTTTGCAAAGTAACATTTGCATTTAAATGGAATATATATTTTAAAGATGTTTACCTGTGAAGTTTGGCCCTGTAATTTAGCAAGCTGAGCAGTTCGAATGTTTAAAGACTGACTTCTTGTAACTGTGGCCTCAGAAGCAGATTTTCCACTAAGTTTTCTTTCAAGATGGCTCTTTCCTGGAGATTTCTCTTCCAGTAGCACAGCGTCCCAAGGATCTTCTACAATTTTAGCATTCGTTATCTTTCCTCCATCTTCTGAATTATAAAATATATCTAGATTGTCCACCTTTGGTTTACTTAAAGGATCTAAATCCAACCAATCAAATTTACTAATATCACTGGAGCTTTCGGAGGTTGGCAAACTAAGAGTAGGTTTAGCACCAGTCATCTCTAAGTCTGTCTTTGATTTCCCATTTTTTTGAAATTCTGAAGTACTTGCAATCTTATCAAATACTTTTGCCATTTCAGGGGTAAGTGCTGAATGATACATAGGTACACTTCCTTGTGGATGGAAACTTGAAGTAAATGGCAGTGGGTATGAAATGTATTGAGACCTTTCTGGAAGACAAAGATAGACAGGCTTTGTAGATTGGTAAGTGGATACACCTGGATGAAAGCCATTCTGAAATATACCAACTTGTTTGGTTAAAGAAGGTACGGAGTAAACAGAAGATCGGGCACTACTGGAAGACGCAGGCAAACTAGATGTCCACTGCCCGCTTTGAGAAACAGGGTGAGAATAAAATTGTGAAGATGATGCCCCAAGAATCTGAGTGGCTGACAAGGTAGATGGTTTGTGGGATTCAAGATTTTCTTCTAAAAGAAGTTTCTCTAATTCAGCACATGTAAGTTTGTCTATGTCAATTGAATTTAACTTATCATCCACCTTCTTCTTGCCATCAGACTCTGGAAACACCATAAGATCATGATCTTGTTTCCTGCAGGACTGTACACTTGGCCAAGAGTAGCTTAAGGTATCACTCTTTTGTCTACTCTCGACCACTACTCTTTCTTTTTGCATCTTAGCCAGAGCTTCAGCTTCCATTTGCAGTGCTTCTTCTTTGTCCACGTCTTTGGGTCTTGCTGGATCCAAAACTGGTGATGAACGTTGTTTAAATTCATTGCTGCTAGATATCTGGGCCATTCTATGAAAGCAGATGTCCGTTAACGATTTCAATTCTTCTTCTGAAACTCTTTGGCCCAAAAACGTTCAACAGATTCAATAAAACTAGTGGAGGGGAAAAAACATATAATACTGAAAGTATTTACAAAGTCACTTTTCTCCAGTTCTACTTTAAAGTTCTGTCTATTAGGGCTATATAGGTATTTGGAAAGGTGCTTTTGATTCACTATGGACCTGCTTGCAGGCAGCAGCTTCCTAAAAATGCCACAACTTTTCCCAGGCTTACATGATAGCCTTGAAAAATACCTGAAGCACTGACAGGATGCAACTACACTATCCTATCTTTAACTCTTTATTTCAAAGAAGTGTTTTTCTGAGATCTTATGGCTAGTGTATAAGATCAGAAAAAGTTACTGCTTGTCTAAGGAGCCGCTGACAGGTACAACAAATATACTCACACCCAGATGTGAAGCACTTTTCCTGCTTTGGATCTATATTATTATACATTCCTACCCAATATATAAAGGCATTAAGAATTTGTACATTTGGAAATATTGCAATTAACAACTATCCTTGACTTAGTTTCTCTTATCAGATGATTATTCCTCTAGATTATTCTGAAGTATGACACTCTAAGGCAGAGGTGTCAAACTCACATCGTCACAGTGGCACCACATGACATATCGGGACTTTTCCCCCCATCGCTAAACCGGGTGTGAGTGTGGCTAGTACGTGGTGCATCCAGATCATGGGCTGGGAGTTTGACAGCCCTGTTCTAAGGTATAAATGTAAAAAAATTAATAATTTCTATGCTATTCAGTGTTTCATCTTTGTGTCACTGAGATATACAGCCCTAAGAACTGCTGATGCACCGTTTCTCCTTAAAAGTAGCCTTTCTATTTATCAATCTCTTCCCCTCTAGACTAATAGAGGAGGACCCAGAGTTGACAGTGCCTTAGTTTCTCAGAGAGATTAAAAGATAATCACCAAGCTCCAGCTACTTGCACTTATAGATTATATGAAAGTGCCTTCTGTTCATCCACTCACAGCTTACCTGTCAGGGGGGATTCTGCTTAAGGCCTTTAGGCAAGTAGGCTGGGTTAAGGTCATCACAGGCTTCTAGCTTTCTTCCATTATTCCCACCAAAGCTGGGCAAACTGAAGGACTGTGTAGTACTAGGATTAAGCAAAAGAATATGGTTGATGGAAAAATGGGAAAACGTAGAATATATATAATATGGCACAACTAATACTGCATATTGTATGCAAAAGTCATCAATTAGACATAATTCATAATTCTTCTTTAGATGAGCCATTAGTGTTAAAGAACTCTATGTGCTTTCGAGCAGCCTTATTGTATCAGCGCTGAATTCCAGTTTGTTTCTTATTTATTTAATCAAATAAATCAAATACCCAACTCAACCGACTCTGGTCAGTTTGCAACAAAATCAGCCAATACAAAACCCCAGTAAGTTCCAATGAAGGCAGAAACCAAAAAGAAAACTGATAACACAAAGCTATAAAACAAAAAACAATCTCCCCTTGCCAACTCTTTAACCTAAACCCTGGGGAAAGAGTCCTATTTTCAAGTCTCGCTTAAAAAACACTAGGTGATGCAAACTTCTGGAAGGATACCATTCAATAGGGCAGGTGCCACAACAAAGAAGTCATGATTCCTTGGTCCCAACAGATGACATTTTTTCAAGGAGGAGTCTCAAAACATGCTCATCATGCTTGTCTTTACAAGAGTGGGCAGAGACAATGAGAGAAGGGCAGTCTCTCAGGTAACTGAGAGATCATGAATGGCTTCATAGATCACCATCAACATCATAAATTGCACTCAAAATCTTACTAGTAGCCATCCTACTGGACTAGAATTTGCAAAAAAAAAAATCTACTAATTGGCTGCAAAACCAGCAGATATAGCTATAAAAAGGCAAATTAAAATTTAAGATCTGCAAGTATAGTTTCCAAATAATGAAGGAATATTTCCATTTTAATCTACTCAGATCAGACCATACCTTGACTACTATTCTCCAGAATACACTAAAGAATTTTTAGAAAATGATAAGAGATTCAAAAACATGCAATGAAGATTAGGGAAATAAAACACAAATGAAAATAGATCAAAGGAGGAGAAGACAGAAGGGGGAATATGACACTATTCTTTATGTACACAAAAGGATTTCCTCAGGTCAAGAAACATCTTGTGTGTGTAAGCCAGGAATTAATACTGTAAGATTTAAGTTACAGAAAGATAGAAACCAACTAAATTTTAGAGAGAAAAAACCCAATTATTCATAGAGGTGGCATGGTCTTCTTCAGTGAGGAGTAATTACATACTGGGCAACCCATGGCATTGTTATTTCTTTGTTTTAAAGATATTTCTATACCTAGAAATAAAAACATTGGCTACAGGAGGACAAAAAAAATCAATGGGAACAACTTCTGATCTCCTGTGAGTGGCCGGGAAGGGAACAGAGAATGATGTTCAAATGATCGTACCAGCATGGTGGCAGCACTGAAGGAGCCACAACTTCCCTAAGATTCTGGCATTCGGTAAGTTAACTCATTTGATGTGCCTTGACTGAAAAGGTTTTGCCCTTTGATACACCATTTGGCTCAGTTAAAGGTCACAGGTATGTTTTATTAGTATATAGCTATAATGCAAACAACAAACAAACTTTGAAAAAAATAACTCAGCAACTATGATTATGATGTAAGCAGTTAGTTCAGAAGCATATTATCAAACTAGTAAGGCTGATAGTAATTTGTTTTATTTGCTGTACTATATCACCTGCCTCAGGAAAAACAGATAAAGAAGTCTGGCTTAAGAACAGCTGTTCACTTGTATAATTCTGGCAGTTTAAACAAGTAAATAATATAATATGTACTGCTTACTTTTATATCGCCACAGAATTAGTACTTGATGAGAAATCACTTCAGTATCTTTATGTAAAAGCAAATTATTGAAATCATGCATCACACTGTCCTGATCATTAATACAACTTAATGTTGTCCTAACAAGCAGGTGATCTGTCTCTTCCAATCCAAGGTCTCCTACCTTTCCTAATGAGAAAAAGGGGTTTTCAGTCTTTGAAGCATTGTGTCAGAAAGTTCTACTAGCAGTAGTCGAGTTTTCAGCACAGAAACAGCTCTAAAACTTAATGCTTTGGGAATCCTGCAAGATATAAAATAAATTGCCTGAAGTTTTATGGTAGAGCTAACAAGGAGAAACAGAATATTGCTTTTCAATTTGAAAAAAAAACCCGGACAAGAAGTTAATAAGATGCACTAGAATATCAAATTCAAACAGGAAGGAACTACATTCGAGTATCCATTCAGTTATGGAGCTTGCTACACAATTGTGCCAACAAGTCACAGAACTGTGTTTAGCACAAAGCATTCTTTGTATGATAAAATATGTAATACACACAACTGCAGGTGCACACACCAGCAAAGCTTGTTTTAAGTAGTAGTAGTAGTACTGGAATAACTTCACCAGGTGGCAGCATCTAGATGCCCTTGTCTAGCTCAAAATATCTAAGCAAGGATCAGCCTGGTTAAAGATCAGGCCTGGCTACTTGGATAAGAGACTACCAAGGAATATCAAGACTGCAGGCTACACTAAGAAGTTGAAAAATAACCCAAATGAAAGTTATCCAACAATAAGAAAATAATATAAATGCATGGATATGTCCATGAAGTTACTAGATGCACACCCATGAACACTACCTACTAGTCAGAAAACTTTTTACTCTGATAACGCAGGGAATGACAACCACAGTTTCAAGTGGAAACTGTGAGCATCCTAGACCGAGCTAAATCCAAAACCCAGAATTTTTTTTTTTTGTAAATTTTATTTGAGTTTTCACAAAAAAAAATACAAATAAAACATCTTTTTTGAAAGTAGCGTAATCGCGGGTTACATTTCTTCATACAGACACAAATTCAAGTTCATGCTCATTTTTATATTCTATTCCATAACTTATTACTATTTTACATTTTCTGCATAGCTTCTCCCCTCTTTTAATTTTCTCAATTTTAATTATCTCAATTCAAATCATTATATTTGTATTTTTTGTCTGTCCTGTTTCAATTATCTATTATCTTTTCTCATTAAACAAAATTTCTCCTGTAGTTACTGATTGGAGTATGACGCCTTTATATCTTTTAAGTTTATCCATTTAACTCTTATTTAGGCTTCAATATATACCCTAAAGTTATAACGTTCAATATAATACATAACTTCCATTCGGATTCTGCTTGGTACATTCTTAAAATACACACTATATTCTTAAAAAAAGAAAAAATTATAAATGTATGTAGTTAAAACACATTCCATTCCAATTCAATTCTATCAATATTAATATTCATTAAAGTCTTAACTTCTTTAACATTACTTTTCAATTAAATATCATACTTCTATGGGAACAATTATAAGCTTTCCATAATTAATTCCCCCCCTCTTCACTTATATTTTATAAAACATTAACTAATTAAAATGTTCCTGTTCCTTCCTAATTCAATTTTCTCATTTATTTTATTTCACTTATTTTGTTAACAAACATTTCACTAAATTACACTATTTTATCCCTCATTTTAATCATACATTGTTTCCAATTTTCTAAAGTTATTTCTATTACTAATATAACAATACAATCTTATGTACCTTTACAGAATCCCTTTTTCAGTTAGATTTTCACCCATTATCTCTAAATAGGTCCTGTTTTTCTATATCTTGCTCTGGTCCTTTGTAACTTCTCTTCCTTTCCTTCCTCCCTCTCTTCTTCTCTCTCCCCCTTTTACCCCCTTGTCTCTCTACCTCTATTTCTCTCTTCTGTATTCCCCTTTTCTGTTGCTTTCTAGTATTATACTTATTTTTCGAATTATTTTTCTTTTCTTTGGTTGTTTTTTTAAATCTTAAATTCTCCATTCTCTTTCCCCCTTTCCTTTTTCTTCCCCACATAAAATTACTTGTTCATTAAAGATGGCTTCTTCTTTGTCCCAGTCTTCTTGTTTTGCAGATGTTTCGTGTTGTTTCTCATAGTTCCAAATCTCCATTTCTAAGAATTGAAAAACGAAGCCAAAAGAACCCTTCCCTTTTTGTGCATCTTCTTTGTACTTTTTAAGTTCTATTTTCAATTCATCCAGAAGTGGTGCCATTGTATAAATTTTTAAACAACCACCCGATTAATTTTAGTCATTGAAATGTAATAACCAAGGATCCAAAGATCACCAAATAATCCAAATACACCCAAGCTGTTTCTTTATGCTCTTTTTTTCCCCTTCTCTTCTTGGGGTTACTGTTTAGTTAAAAAGTTTCAGTTAAAAGGTATCTTTTAGAAGTCTGGTTAAAGTTTTACTGTAGATTCTTTTTAATTCCAGGCAGTCTCCTCCCTCTTCCAGATCCTGCCCTTATTTTTTTCTCTCCTTTCCTGCTTATGAAAAAAAAATGTTTAGTGTCCAGAAATCTTTATTATCCCTTTGGCATTTTATTTTATTTTCAGTTTAATTGCCTGTTGATGTCAAAGCGGATTTTTTTTCGATTTCTTATTTAAGTCTCTTAGTTGTCAGTGTATGGAAAGGGAGAGAAGAAGAAAGAAAGCCAAACCTTTCCCTTTCCACTTTCCTTTGCTGCTTCTGACTCTTCTTTGGGAGCGATGTTATTTTTTTGTAAGTTTAAATTCCAGGGTACCTTAGTTGTTGCTTTCACAATTTAACCCGGTCAGCCAAAACTTTCACTTATCTTCCTCCTGCACATTCTTTTCCGGTCGAGTTCTTCTTTGTGATGGTCAGAAAGTTCTTCTTTGTGGTGGTCAGCAACCGCCTTTGGGAAAGGGAGTAATGGCCAGCTGAGGAGGAGAGATGCGGCTCTTCTCAACCCTGCTGGTGGTCTCCCCTCTCTTCACCACCTCTACGGGGTGGCTTAGCCCCGAATCCAGCCAGCTCGGGGTGCTCCAGCGGCGAGCCCAGACCGAAACCGCGCACGATCGCAGATTTGTCTGTCGCCGAAGAGACTTCAAACCGGAAGCCAAAAAACCCAGAAATGTTGTATTCAGACAAATCAGCCATCAATAAACAAATAAACCACATTTATGCACTATTCAAAAGAATCAATAAAAAGGCTAAGAATGGAACAAGAACATATCCTCTCCAGCAACCAATACCCAGAT